CGTCCAGAACAACCTGTTGTTCTTGGCTCTTGCAAAGCTTGATGCCGCAACATATCAGGTGAAAAATCTTTTCCAGTTTTCCGTTTTGGTAGATTTTTCGGAAGAGAGGCAGCTAAAGAATCTGAGGGCAACTCAGATTTTTCAACCTGTACCCCGTGTATCTGAATTGTTTCGGCAGCGAAGTGTAATATCAGGATAGGAAAAGATCAACCTAAATGTCATTTGCTAGCAGACATGTTAGGATGCAGTCTGTGTTTCATCCCTTAGCTGTAAACACTGACCGAATGCGATGTACAGATAGGACCTGAAATCATCAGTGCAGCCCTCTATCCACCAAGTAAATGATAAGCATGTCAAATTACGTAAGACTGGAGTGATCAGAAGACGAGGGAGGAAACAAGAAACAGTACTGAGATAGAGGAAGGAGGGGGATTTAGTGCGTATATGGCTTAATGAACCGAAACGTCTTATCTCACTCTTACCTTCTCTCCTACTCTATTTTTCTTCTGAATCCCTTCACACCTTCGTCATCTGCACTTCCAGGGTCAACGTGGATGCTGCAGTCTGCTTAGTAACTTAGTTCAAAGCAGGGATCATCGTGTCATTTATAGGAGAATCATTGATTTATTACTAAAATGAGTACCAATACCGATTTGGCCACTAACTGGAAAACCATCATATCAGCCGAAATCCCATCAGTTCGGTTTCTCCTTCGGATTTCTTCAGCTCCGATCTTAAGTGGGCTTCGTGACTGTTTAGGCCTTGGTTGAATCTGTTCTTGCTTTTGCCCTGTCCCAATCTTTCGGCATTTTCAAAGCAAAAATGATCATGGCATTGCGACCACATCATTTGTGTGTAATATTTTGCGCGAACTTTTGATGGAGAAAAAAATGCTTTTCAAACGTTTTGTCCTTTGAATTTCATGAAAAATTGATTTTTTAATTGAAATAAATTTTTGTGAAGATTAATGAGAATTTTTGAGTAAGAATTTAATAAGAATTTTAATTGATTTTGTGAAAAATTAATTTTTTAGTTGAAATATAAATGCTTATTCAGGTAACATATCAACTGAAAATTCTCACAACAGCGTTTTTCTCTGTTGCTCTGTTGGGAAGGAGATTGAACGGGATGCAG